ACAGAAAAAAATATATCAAACTGAAATTGTGTCTTGGATTGATTCATATCATTAAAATAAAATACTTAATTTTAAAATATGAGGAAACCAATGATACATGTTTACTCTTATGTGCCAAGTACTTTCAAAGTTGCAAAGACAATTTGAATTAGAATATATCTTTTAAACTGAGCAGCAAATATTTATATTTAAATAAATATGCTGCTTACAATGTTAACAAATACTGATAAATTAAGCATCACGAGATATCTGTTTACAATAAGATAAATGGAAAGGGATATAGAGAATGTCACTCGTCCACCACAGTTTGTACAATACTGCAATTATGCAAGACGTGCAATACTTTTCAGTATTATATTTAAATTACTGATGTCTTGTCTCAGCAAAGTATCTATTGTAATCAAGGTGCTTGTTTAGTTGAGACATTATGCCAAAATAAGTGGCTGAAGTGGAACAGATAGCTTCAAAGTTTCCTTCTTGCCTTGTAGATCAGTTATCCCCTGCAACCTATCCCTGTGGTTCCCATGGCATGCCACAAACCTTGCATTTCCCCACAATTTTTCTATGATACCTTTTGAATGAATTAGTTTTCATCATCATTAACATATGTCTGTGGCAGCCATCCGAAGAGATCATGCAGCACATACTTTTGTATTTTGGCTGAGACTATTTTATGGTGTTTTAAACAAAGCTTGCCTTTGCTAGTCAGCCGGAATGAACCTGTGAAACAATTTTGTGATTAATCTCGTAACAGTCCCATAAGTCTCTGTCTACTATGATTACAACAGTACGTTAGAGCAGACCAGGGCTCTGCAGACTATTAGCATTATAATTCTTTGGGATGGCTCAAATATGGTGAGCTCCTTGCTGAGTCAGGATAGTCCCGTGCTTGTTCTATTGAGCACTACTGATCAGTTTATATTGGCTCGCATTGGGAAGGCTTTCTTTACAAGGGTAAAATATTAGTATCACATGAGAGCTGAGATTCCTATTTGTCCCCAGTTTTTACGGCCTTGTTCGAAGTCGTCTTCATTACGATACAATGGGGGCTTTGAAAAAGGTTGAGCAAACATTCAGAAAGATGAAGATCCTGTTAAGGAATGTACAAGCAAAAACCCCTGATGTGTTTACCTGAGCAAATTTAAATGCGCAAAAGTATAAAAGTTCATGTTTAGATCTTGAGATGCATGTAATAGATTACATGAATGAGATTTCCTTTGAATGCTTTTTCTCCTATTCATTGCTCACCATGCGAGTCTATATGTAAGGTTAGTGTAAACTCACTCGTTGGCCAAGTCAGGATTGTGCCTGGCTATGCTCTCAACCTGGATAATTATTTTGTTGTTTATTAGCCTAATAACTTTTTGGCATGTTACATTAGGCGCACTCAGAACTCACCTAGTTAAGGTTACATCAAAGATTGACCTGCATTGACAAGATGAAATTGAAGTAATTTTCTTTTAGAGCTTAGAAGGTAGAGTATTTGTGT